TGCTTGATCGGAGAGGCGGTGCTGCATGACTCACGATCGCGCGTCCTCCAATGTGTTCTCGCTAGTCGCAACTACTGCACAATCGTCACCAGCACATCCTGCACCACGACGAGCAGGTGTGCAGTTGACGGGCGTCAGTTTTGACAGGAATCGGGCCTGGTACGCCACCTGGTTGTAGGTTCTGCAACGAGGCTACAACGACGCAGCCAACACGGGCTCTGACGCGGTCACCTTCACACAGCACTGGTGGCCGAAGTCATCATCCGCGTGTGCACTGAGCGGCAGCCCAGTGCGTCTGATGGTGACATTGGAAGCGAAGGCAGGACCTTGGCAGGCGCGGTCTGTGGACGTACTCGAGGGGGCGGTGGGCAGGAGCATTGTCCTTCCGAGATTTCACCAACTCGTCGGATCAGAATGCAGCAGAAGAACTGCAGCGTGGATTGAGCGAGGCCAGCTAACAAAACAAACCAGTTGCAGTCACTGCATGCTCTTCCTCCGTTTCCATACGGACATGTTTCTTCGCATGCGCAAACTCTTTTCCATTGTGTTTGGCAGTTTTGCATGTTTTCTCCTTACATCGCGCATTGCGTCTGGGCATTTGCAATCATTGGTTTTGATTTTTTTAATTTTTTTTCCGACTAGGCATTAGCTAAACTGACACTGGCTTTCAATCATTTCCTACAGGCCTTCCGATCCCACTGACGTCATGAGCGTGTTGCACCAGAAGTCGAGTGAGTTCCTTTTGTGCTGGCTGTTGCAAATGTACACGAATAATCCCAGGACTTCTGAGAAGGCGTATAGTTAAATGAGGCTTACTCACTCGATTGCTTCTTCCGTCGACGCAATCTGGAAATGTTCAAAGAATATGTGATGAGCATGCGGGGTGAGGAGTTGTACAGTGCTTTGAAGAAATGCTAGTTCCTGCAAGTGTTACAAAATTTGCTGTAAGTGCTATGTGGTGAAACTTTGTAGCCTTTCAACTTGTGTTTAGTCGTACGCTGGCGTTGCATGTCATGCCTTGAAATTCCTCAAATCTAATTATCATTGAAACTTATTCGGTGAATTGGAGCGTGAATAAAATGAAGAACGCACTAGATTAAGAAATCATTGGTTTTTTTCGCCACATCACTGAACCCCTTTTCGTCTTGTCGACTGAGACATAAAAACGTTTGCCACCAACCTGCGAGGATCTTTAATTCCGTGATTTATTTTGCATGGGTCACTTTATGTTAAAATTAAGCTCTATCATTTATTGCTACTAAAACATTTAAGTAGTCATTGTAAAAACAGTATTTGTCTGAAAATGAGCTTTGATGTCTTTCCTTCATTTTGGTTGTCAGCTGAGTTTAAGTAATCCAGGTTGCCTAAATAAGGCAATGAATAATCACAGTTACCTTAATTGCACCAATTTTTATGGTCTAAAATCATGCAGCCATTGGAAAAAAAGTTGCTCCATCATGAGAAAATTATGCAGTATGATTTGATAAGAAGGCTTTTTACTGCAAGGTAACTAAGTTATGGTCTCTACTTGCCTTGTCGAGGCATTTAGCGAGAATGTCATGTAAGATATAGTAAATTTTCCCGTTGAAACTACTGGGATGTTACTTAGTTTTGGCTCTTGGGCAGAAAAGCAAAACAAACGCGAGTTGAGAGTGTATTGATGGTTTCGGTGATGGGGTTTGCTTGCCACAGTCCGAGGCGCACCCACACGCCCAGACGAGGGCCCGGCTCGACTCACCGCTGGTGTCCGGCCGTCCGTATGTCCACCCGCCCGCTCGCAAGCTTTGAGGTGTTCCGCTGGCTCTTGGTGCGGCGCAGCAGCGACTTCAAAGCCGCACGAGTCCACCGCAAGCGATCAATGCAGCGCCTTGCCGCACGCTCGCACGCACGCTCTCCGCGCGCGAGCACAGGACGGGGGGCGGCGGTGGCGGCTGTGGTGGTGCGCAGTCGCGAACCCCGCCACCTCCTTCTAGAGGGCAAACTCGTGCACCGGGGCCGGCAATTACGCCCGAGATCAAAGACGCCCGCCCGCCCGCCCGCCCACGCCACAACTCAAAGCCCCAACGACTCTCCGTTCTGACCGGGCAAGTAGGGCTTAGTGAGGAGACGCCACGTGGACCTGATACAGAGGCGAAAGGGGACGAAGCTCATGACTGCAAAAGGCGCAACACCGAGCAAGAAAAAAAGGGCCCTTCTTTTGTATCATTGCTTCAGCTTCTGAAAATGCCCTGTTACAAGCATCGTGGCCCATTCTGTACTCACCAAAAGTAATCCAAGTATTTATGCTTTCCTTGTGTCAGTTTTCATGAGTCAGACAGTGTAATGTCAATTAGGCTCAAATCCACATGGATACAGCAGCTTTTTCTATTATGCTTTACCATCAAGGATTTTGAGGGATGCCAATAATGCGTCTTTTTTACTTGCTGCTGCCTTGATTGGCTACGCGTGATACGACGACCGAAGCAAACTCGAGCAATTACTCTGGTTATGACTACGACATAAAGGCAGCGCGCATTGAATTATTCACGAACTCACGGAGGCCTGGAGGTGGTGCCGTGCCGCACACCCTGGTCTCGGCTCCGGCATGCAAAACCATCTCCCCACTAATCAAGGTAAAGGTATTGGAAAGGTAGATTGGTGGACATTAACACAGATACCGATTTGTTCATTTTAATGTCTAGAGATGTCACTTGGCAATTTTTCATCAATGTACTACAAAGACACTGATGCATAACTCGAGTGGATTTTAATGCTGATTGGCGTGTTTCCGATGACGATTCGGTGAAGTTAAACTAAGGACATTTCTAAAGCAACGGTAAGTGGAATCGCCTTTTCTTAAGTTGATGTTTTCTGGCTTTCTCGCTAGAGCGGAATGCTGGCCTGCGAGTGGGGTCGGGCTTCTGTCACATTTAGATGAGTTGTGGAGTTTGCCGGGGTCATACCCAGTTGCCTGAAGTGACTTACTCTGAACCACAACTCACCTGCCCGCAACGTCCAGTCGGAACCTTACGGTGCAGTGTTAATTCTTCTTTTTTTTTATAAAAAAAAACCTGAAAGAGTAAGGCCGATTTCCTTGCAAGCACTACGTGCCTTCGAAGCTGATGAGATTTTCTTAATTTTACGTGCATCCAAACTGACTGTGTTTGAATGTGTCCTCACAATAGCTGTTTACCAAGTTCCAAGATAACTTCTTGATCAGGCTTGATTGGGTGCCAATTTTGGACATTTAAGGAGCTCTAATCAAATAAATGACTAACGTCGCAAGACAAAGCCTTTTCGCGCTTGACCTCCTGGTCCATCCTTGATTTCCCCACTGCCATTAATAACTACTCTCATGTCAACAGTAGAACGTTTTTTGTAAGCAACTAAACTTATTTGATTTCAGATTTGGCATAGGCCTGGGTGGCCAACGCAATCAACTTTAAGTTAAACAATTTCTCGATACCATCCAGGCATTTTACCCAAGTTTTAGAGGTCGTATTTTTCATCGCTG